GTCTGTTAAAAGCTGACTTTCTGGGAAAAAGAAAAATTGACTGAGTATTTACCACATTGAACCAACTTTGAAAACTGAGGTATTCGAATTGATGGCATCATTGTCTTCACCATCACAATTTTAGGGCTTTTTTTAAATCAGAGGATTATCAAGCTCTAGGCATTAGGCTAACCAGGTGACGTACACTGCCTCCATTAATCCCCACATCCTTACCTTTTGAGGTAAATGTCAGATCCCATTTCCCGTCTGTGGGAGGGTTGGGAAGAAATGCTCACCCTTTCAGAAGATAGAAGCAATCATTTCAGGTTAGGGCGTTTGATAATGTTTCCAGAAATGTTTTCACTTTCTCACTGCTCATTCAGAAGCGAGAGCAGGATCCAGAGGAAGGAGAGCGAGACTTCTCTCAGTTTCACATGGGGCCCTTCTCAGACAGCTGCTCCCTGTGTGTTGTCACCAAGGTTATGATATTCTGAGTGTGCTCCATGAATTCACGTGCTTCCTCAGAGACTATTTGCTTTTAAATTTTTGATGAAACCATGAGTAGGAAATGTCATTTAATCATTCCAGATCCCAGGGGAAAGAGCAGATGGGAAGGAAACTTTCCTGCTTCTGGTGCAGTGACTATTTGTTACCCTTTTTCTGAGAAAGCTCTAAGTCACACCTGTATAAAGAGCTCGACCTCCAGACCACACCTGTGTTTCGGGCAGTTATTTACTCAGCCACTCACCGCAGCAGGGTCTCCTCACCCTGGAAGCTGCAAGAGGTATGGACGTAAGAGAGTAACAGGCTTTGGACTGCAATTCTCATTGCTCTTGCTGAAGAGACCTTGGCTGGCAGAGCCGAAGGAGGCGGGGCCCCAAGCTTGCACCTTGGACCTACTGTTCCTTTCAGTTAACTTACCTACATCTTCAACTTCAAATTCTGACAGACTGGACAGCCGACTTCTTCCCTCTGGGCCAGGTAAAATAAAGACTCAATAGACAAGGCATCACCCAAATATGCGAACTGAAGTCGCTGATGATGGAAATTCTCACACAAGTGAACATTTTAGTGAGGAGTGCTATCAGGAAGGCCCCAAGTGACCCCAAGTGGATAACCTTTAGAGAGCTGGAAGGAACGTGAGGATGGCTTTTTCTACCAGGCTGGAGATACAGTGTACAAGAAATGCAACTTGGGGCGCCTGGGTGGCTCAGTCGTTAAGCGTCTGCCTTCGGCTCAGGTCATGATCCCAGGGTCCTGGGATCGAGCCCCGCATCGGGCTCCCTGCTCAGTGGGAAGCCTGCTTCTCCCTCTCCCACTCCCCCTGTTTGTGTTCCTCTCTCGCTGTGTCTCTCTCTGTCAAATAAACAAATAAAATCTTTAAAAAAAAAAAAGAAATGTAACTTCATGGAGCGACTACAATTCTATTTCAAGCCATCGTTCGGTCAACTCAGGAACTGTCTTTGTCCCTAGTGTCACCTCTGAATTCTGGGGTGGTTTACACAGAGCCAAGGCATTCGAGAAGCTCATCTAGGTACTGGTCATACGGTAATTCTGTTTAATTTTTGAGGAACGGCTATGTTGTTTCCACAGCGGCTGCATCATTTTACCTTCCCACCAGCATACACAGGGGCTTCCTTTTCTCAGTATTCTTGCCCACCAGTGAGTTTTATAACAAGGGTGCTCTTGGCACTTGGGGGTCAGTCCTTCCTCCTTATGCAGGATTGTCTCACTTTTTGCGGAATGGTTAGCATCCCTGGCCCCACCCACTGTTTGCACATAATGGGATAATGTTTCCCAGTTGTTGTGACAAACACCCACCCCATCACTCACTACACTTTCAAATGTCCCCTAAAGGACCTAAGGGGTAGGAGGAAGCTGTCCCCTTGAAACCCCTGGCCTATGCCTTGGATATTTTTTTTTTTTAATTTAAATTCAATTAGCCAACTTATAGCACATCATTAGTTTCAGATGTAGTGTTCAATAAATTATCAGTTGCGTATAACACCCGGTGCTCATCACATCACATGCCTTGAATGTTTTCTGATGCCTTAAGGCCTTGTCTTTGGAAACTCGAAGTCCTGGAAGAGGCCCTTTTTTTCTTTGTCTTGCTGTCACATCACTTCCTTGATTCAATAAGCAAAGAAAGGCCTAGTTTAATTAGATGGAAGGGACGGGGGAGCGGGTGGGGAGGGATGAGAGAGAGAGAGAAAAAGATTAATATTTCAAAATATGAACTCACCACAGAAGGATTTCTCATCTTGTTCACTTTCTTCTCTTGAGTAACTCTGTTACTCTATCATTTTTATTTTCTTGTCAGACAAATTTAGATTTTCTAAAAAGGCCTAGACAAGCATACAACATGTCCTTCAGAAAAGCATATGAACTATATTAACAAAATGAATACAGTGACGAGTATCACTCCTGTCCCTAAAGGAAAAACACCCCTGCATGTGTCTCTCCCTGACTCTCACACTCCTCTACTCTGCCACCTCACTGCTGACCCCTGCTGGGTGGGCTTTCCACACATCAAGCAATGCTGTGAGTCCAGCTGGGCGTCTTGCAAGTGAGCTCAATTCCAACACTCTCTACCCAGAGACAGCATCAGATTCCACAGGTTAAGGGCTCAGTCCCACAACACTACCCCCCCCCCACCACCATTTCAAATGCCATCACTTGGCATTTGATGCCATCACTTGGCATTGAGACAATCCTGCATGAGGAAGGACTGACCCCCAAGTCCAGGTTGTCGCCTGTGTTCCTGAGCAATCGGCTATAAATTTGTGGTGCCCATGACCATCCCCAGCTTGGGTTGATTAATTTGCTAGAGTGGCTCACAGAACTCAGAGAAAGTTTATTTACTAGACTACCAGATCATATATAACTCAGGGACTGCCAGATGGAAGACACGCACAAGGCAAGGTGCGGGGAAAGTTTGCAGAGCTTCCTTGCCCTCTCAGAGCCAACCCCTCTCCCCACACCTCCAGGTATCCAACTCAAAAGCTCTCCAAACCCTTTCCTTTTGGTTTTTATGGAGGCTCCGCTAGATAGGCATAACTGATTCAATCACTGACCCGCCACTGGTGATTGATTCAACTTCTAGCCTCTCCCTTCCCTGGAGGTTGAGGGCTGGGACTGAAAGGTTCCCTGGCAACCAGCCACCATCATGAGGCAGATAGAGATGAAGGGATTGAATTTGTGACCAGGACAACCTCATTGATGGGCAACTCAGTGTCTCTGAATGGATGAAGAACATGGAGAACTAGATGAGCCTCTCAAATGCCTTGGCTCTTTGTAAACCACCCTAGAATTCATAGGTGACACTATGACATTCATAGGTGACAGGACAAAGAGTTCCTGAGTTGACCAAACGATGGCTTGAAATAGAATCGTAGTCGCTTCATGAAGTTACATTTTTTGTACACTGAATCTCCAGCCTGGTAGAAAAAGCCATCCTCACGTTCCTTCCAGCTCTCTAAAGGTTATCCACTTGGGGTCACTTGGGGCCTTCCTGATAGCACTCCTCACTAAATGTTCACTTGTGTGAGAATTTCCATCATCAGCGACTTCAGTTCGCATATTTGGGTGATGCCTTGTCTATTGAGTCTTTATTTTACCTGGCCCAGAGGGAAGAAGTCGGCTGTCCAGTCTGTCAGAATTTGAAGTTGAAGATGTAGGTAAGTTAACTGAAATGAAGAGTAGGTCCAAGGTGCAAGCTTGGGGCCCCGCCTCCTTTGGCTCTGCCAGCCAAGGTCTCTTCAGCAAGAGCAATGAGAATTGCAGTCCAATGCCTGTTACTCTCTTATACCCATACCTCTTGCAGCTTCCAGGATGAGGAGACGCTGCTGCGGTGAGTGGCTGAGTAAATAACTGCCCGAAACACAGGTGTGGTCTGGAGGTCGAGCTCTTTATACAGGTGTGACTTAGAGCTTTCTCGGAAAAAGGGTAACAAATAGTCACTGCACCAGAAACAGAAAGTTTCCTTCCCATCTGCTCTTCCCTCTTAGGTAAATGCTCTTATCCTGTCATTCAAAATATGTTTCCCCAAGATCTTGGGGTGTGGGTTCATCATTGGAGCTCACACCTACAGACAGCTGGGACCCTCTCCCCTTCCATGCCAGCACAGCCCAGAAGCGGCCTTCCATGGGAGGTGCCTATATTCTATTCTTCCTCTAAGGAGGAAGGGAGGTGAGTTGAATGAATATGACAGAGCTTCTGGCCTGAGATATCCAGCATGTGATCTTGTTTGTGTTTTTCTGTAAAGGAATGATGCTAAACCCTAGTGACTGGGTTTGGCTCCCCCAAACACCTGGATTTTAGTATCTGAAAATTTAAGCTAATTAGAAAAATTGAGTTCCTACTTACTATAGCTTTCATCTGCTGATATCCATTTAATATGATTATTCCCAGTGTTAATTTCAAGTTCTAAATACAGTCTCACATAATAGGTGGCTCACATAGCATCTCATCTCTTCCTTTTACTAATTCTACTGCAGCTAAGTGTTCCCTGGGCTACTCAGGCAAATCCTTGTAATCCTGGGCATGTGGTCCTTAAGTAACTAACCTCTTGTTGGAAAAAATACTACTCCTGGTCTTCATCACATTTCTATACTCTACTGAGCCCAGGTTTGGGCAATTTCCAGTTTTCTTGTGTCTAGAGACTTCAGCTGCCTGTAAGACTTCTGAATTTTCTTGTTTTCCTCCCACGTCTGCTGTGGAGCTTCTCACAGTTTTAGCTCTCCCTCTGGCTCGCTCTTGCTCTCTTTCCCCCCTCACCCTGGGAATTGAAGGTTTGTGCTCTGAAGTCTCAGTAACGTTGGCTTTTAGTGAGACCACAGTGCAAAATAATAAATGAGATTTTAAACAATGTTTGAAGTGGGTGCGAGCCATGTTGTACGTTTTAAGACTGATATTCTTGCAGAAGCCATTGTGGAAGATGACGAAAGGCAAATGAATCACAGATGAGGGTGAAATGAAACCAATGAAATAAGGAAAATGAACAGACACAGATTTTAGAAATGTTTTTTTATTCCTAATTAGGCTTGATACCACCATGTTTGGTTACTGGAATGTTTTCACTCCCGTCTTCTGACCTTCTTAAAACAGGAAACAAAGAAGTTACTCCAAGGGACCCACATTTCAGTTTCAATGCGTGGCACAGTTAGTTCATGATAAGAGTCTAGTAGCCATCATAACTTTAGTCAACGCTCAGCTTCTCGGTGCAGTGGGTGCTGCCGGGATAGTATTTCATTACTCATGGCAATATGACATTCACTTCCATAGCACTACAGAGTTCCGTTTCTAACCTGGCATGTAATAATCATAAAATAAAATGAGTGAATAAGAGAACTACAACATATAGCTCTGGTAACCCATTAATACCCAATTTACTAGCCCAGATATGCATGGGAAACCAAAATGGTACCCAAAATGACAAAGATATGAATAGAGAATTTTGTAATTTTAGGTTGAAAATACCCAGCTAGATGAAAGCTCTTAAAAACTGAGTATAATCGTTTATAAAAACCAAAAGCACAATGAGTTATGTTTAAAACAAAAAACAAAAAAAACTAACTTTAGGGAACTGAATTTTTCATGGAGCCAAGCTACCACCCCACTGATAGACTTGCTAACCGACAAAGAGAAAATGCTTCTTACTAGTGAAAAGAACTGCGTTTGCCATCACATTAACTCAGTGACCAAAGTCGATGTCACCAACAGTGGGACAACCAGACTTAATGTGCTGCTGATGTCATGCACTCCGAAGCAGATATTCTCACTTATCGAATATTCTTCAAAATGTATAACCTGAATTTCATCAAGACTTTAGATCTAAGGGATAGGCAGAAGATGAAAGAGCAAAAGAATCAAAAGTCCAGAATTGGGGCATTCTATAAGACAATTGGCCTCGCCTTTTCCAAAAATCAACATAGCATGTGAAAGGGGTATATGTGTGCTATTCTAGATTTAAAAAGACCAAAGACATAATTATTGTATGTGCTACTCAACTGGATTCTAGAATCAACTGGATTCTAAACTGGAAAAAAAATCTATAAAACCAAAGTTACAGTTTAAATATGGACTGGGTATTACATGATCCTAGGGAATTAATATTAATTTATTAAGTGGGATATATTAGAATTTGGTTATGTAAAAGGATGTGCTCATTTTCTGCTGATGCATGTGTAAGTGCTTGGGGTGTTTAAAATAGTCCAACAACAAGAGAACATATGAAGCAAAGATGGCAAAATGATTATAACTATTGATTAAAGGTATTAGGTCATGGGTATTCACTGTACTATTTTTTTCTATTTCTCTGCATATTTGAACATTTTTAAAAAGATTTTATTTATTTATTTGACACAGAGAGAGAGACAGCAAGAGAGGGAACACAAGCAGGGGGAGTGGGAGAGGGAGAAGCAGGCTTCCTGCTGTCTCTTCTCTGTCTCTGTCTCTTCTTCGCTGTCTCTCTCTCTCTGTCAAATAAATAAATAAAATCTTTAAAAAAACGTGCGACAGTGTTTAGGTACTTCTTTCATTTTCCATACTTTTTTCCTTTTTTTTTTTCATTCTTCATGTTTTTTAAAGATGAAAGCCATTGCATTTGAAAATTCTGATAATATTCTGGTCTGTTATTTCCAGTGTTGAATTTATTTAGGACAGCTAGCATTTGCTCCTAAGTGATCTTATTTTTCAGTTCCTTCTTCTCAAACTTCATCCTGCCCTTTCTCATCTAAAGGGTAAAATGGAGTCTGCGGGTGTGGCCACCTTGTATTTTCACCGTTGACGTAACCTTGACCTGACACTATCACAGCCCTGCTTGTATTCTACACTTTCTTGCTTTTGTTTCAAACAGCCCTCTTCATCATCTAGAATGTTAGCCTCCTTCTGGATTTAATCTTTCTGACTCTTTTCTCACATACTCCTGACAGAGTTTTCGTATCCATGCTTTTTTTTCTAGATCATCTTTCACATTTTACATACACCATTTAAAAATATATCTGCTCTCAGCAAACAGCTTCCTGCATGAAGACACTAAATCTTTTTGGCTACCTCCTTCCTTTTTCTTTTTCTTCTTCTTTTTTCCCCCCTGTCTAAGACCATTTACAATAGTAGCATCCAAATTTTATGTTGAGGACTCTCCCCTGCTTCTTTTTGGAATCTCAGACGGCGGGGGGCGGGGGTCAAAGTCAGGCTTTTATAATTTCCTGAGATATTTTAAAACTCCAACCAACCAAGTGTGTGTCTGGCAGTGACCACATCTCTCTGGAATTTTCTGATGGCCAGGTGGCCCTCTTCCAGGATTCTTGTCACTTCTGATTTTCCATGCAGGGCCTCCGAGTTGGCCAGAATTAGAAGCAGGGTGTTAATCCTCTTCATCACTTCCTCTCCCTTCTGAAAGATGAAATTATCGTGTGGGTTAGTGATTCTCAACCTTGCTGCACATTCAAATCACTTGGAGGCACTTAAAAAAGAAGTCTACCCTGAGAGATTCTGCTTTAATTAGAAGGGTGGAGCCTGCCTATCAATATAGATATAGATACTTTTTTAATTCTGGGATTATTCTAATGTGCAGCCAGGACTGAGAACACTAAGTGAGGCAAATTGTGGATTTATCGGATGTTCTGAGTTTAGAAATTGAGACATCTGGCAAATGCCTGGATAGTGGAAGCCCCCATAATTAAGATTCTGGATGCTTCTCTTCTCTAGTCCATTAAGTTTTAACACAGGCAATCTAGTTCTAGCGTGTCTAAACAGGATAATGACAACCAGAACCATGATATTACTTTCTGATTGTTGATATTAATCTCAACACAGCTCTAACATCTTTACACAAGATGAAGCTCGACAGCAAAAGTTCAGAAAGTTTGAAAAGTTCAGAAGACAGTTTGGGACATTAGCTTTTCTGAAATTCCAAATGAAGACAAACGAACTACGTTGCCCTGGATAGTTTTCCCTTATTAATAAGGGAGTCATTTGACAAAGGAAGCATATTTAAAATGACAAAATGAAACACAATTTTTTTCTCCTTCTTTGGTCAGTCCTCAAGATGCCAATTCTCGGTTAGTCAAAAGGCAATTGAGATGTCAAATACATTAGATTTTTGAAAAATCCCCCCTTACCACACATCACACACAGCACGCGTTTGGGCTTTTTTACATCTTCAATTCTAATTGTTAATTATGATCACCGAGTATGCAAGACTGTTCTTTCACCATATGAAATAGCCTTGTTTCTGGTTAGTGGCAGAGCCGATTTTAGTGTCATTCTCAGAGGTAGGCTAAATGTCAGCCAAATTGGGACATTTAAGAGTGAGCAACAAATCAGCCCTGAAGCTGCATGACTTGAATGAGCATCCCCTCAGAGGCCCAGCCGAGGGCACGGCTGCGTCTTGGCAACCATGGCCCACGGGGGGAGTGGACAAGCGTGATTGTGCAACTTGGTAGGCTGTGCCGAGCACTCAGGGCATGCGCAGGAATTCGGCCTCCTAGGAATTAGAGGTGACCGTGGGAGAACATGAGGATGCGATTTTCCTGAATGCTCGCTCAAGAAATAAAAGCCATAGAGGGTCCTAAAACTCTAGCTCTAATCTGTTCTGAGTTAGCTGTGTAGAAACGGCTATCTGGGGACAGTGGAAGTCCAGAGGTATGTTCTATAGCAATCTAAAAACAGATAGACAACAGAAAGGATAAGCCACATTCTCATGTTGAAACACTGCAACTGCTTTCAATTAAGCAGGCCCTTTTGGAATCACATGCATTTTGTCAATAGTTCAGTTTTGCAAATGTTTGGCAATATGGTTTCATCTGACAAGCTCTCAATAACGTATTTTTCCACTTTCTAAAGAAAGCACATGTAGAAAAGGGTGTCGAGTAACGTTAAAGAGTGTGTTTCGAAACCGTGGACACTAAGAAAACTAGTGCTGGTTCTCTCTCCAACTCTAACTCCTGCCATCCTAAGCCATGATTATAGGAGTCTAAAAACAAAGCATGAGAAGATGGTGGAATGAAACAGAATGCCTGCCAAAAGGAGACAGAGCTAACAGCCGAGTGAACACAACCAACACAGGCTTTCCTAAAATCAGTGGGTTTAACTCGGAATGAGAGTTACTTTCATGTCTCTTTCATTTTACTGAGATGGACAACATCTATACACACACATACATTTCATCACCCACACTCCAATATCGACGCTGAAAACAACGTATACTGCACAAATTGCAGACTCATGCACGAGTGTTTACAGAAATTTAAAAAATAATCCAGTTACACTTCTGCTCCTACCAAAATTGTGCAATCTTTCTACACAACTCTGTTGACTTTCCTGGAGGAAAGAGAAGATTCCCACTGCTTCAAATTAAGGTCCACATATTAGCAGAGGAGTTATTGGTTATGACTGATGGAAAACAGATTGGGTAGTCTTTCAATTAGAAATAAGTACATTCATTTTATAAATGGTTTGCCACAGGAAAGCAGGCACGTCAGACCTCAGGTGTACATTGCGATCGCTCTTCTACTCTTTCCTTAGAAATGCAGTAAAAACCACACCTAGTACTTTGAATGTTTTGATTTTGCAAGCAACACAATCCCCCGATTTCATCCTAAATCAACTGGCTGCTTTCATAGAGTTCAACCGGGACTGCACAAAGGACCAGGATCAAAAGAAGACAGTCTACCTCTTCATTTGAACCGAGTCAGTGTGAATTAATTTAAAACGTCAAACTTCATTTCTATAAAACAGGCTTGAAAAACAATATTGTTTGGTTAAGAAAGAGGTTAATGAGGAAAATGTAATCCCCACTCGAATGCCATTGGAATGCAAAGCCACATTTATTTGCATGTGTGGTATCTGTAAAAGGCCCAAGGAATTTTGTTTTTGGTGTTTTGAATTGTTTATAATGTATTCTCTTTTTATTCCATCTACTAACAATTCCCAGAAATGATGGAAATCAAAAGACAGAAAAATATAAATGCATTTGGCTTCTAAGAAAATTACCAGTTGCAACATCAGTTCTAGCCACAGTTCATAAAGCAGGTGATTATGGGGACAATAAAGAACAATGTTATTAAATCAGAAAAAAAAAAAAAAATCCCTCGAATCTTGCCAGTTCTGTGATAGCGTCTTAAAGTCTGACACTCCAAAACAGTCCATGCCAAAATTTGCAACAAAATTTCACTAATAAGGATGCTAATTTGCAAGCATATAGTTTGGGTATTCCAGGCTGCAAGACACAAAACACACTGGATAATTTCTTTGACCTTGTAATGTTTTATTACAGCATTTACCAAAGTGTCAAATAAAACAAATCTATTATTTTAAAATCAACACTGGAAAGGTCACTGACTTTTCAATAGACCAGTTTTTCATCACACTTTCAGATGATGTTCTTGCACATTTCAGGGTCAGGATCTGCTTCATTAAGAACACTGGGTTTCAAAACAAGCCCTTTTCCCTCAGGCCCAGCAGCCGGAGCAGAGCACTGTGCTGGGAGCCACAGGCCGTCAATTAACAATGAGCCAGGCCCTTGGAGCAAGGGATGTCTTGGCAGAAAGTTGGTCGTATTAACCTTCAAGCCTCGGTTCTCGTTTACCTTGGAGTTGCTTTCCTATCACAGCTATGTGCTAATAAATTACCTCTATTTAATGTAACCATTAGGATTACCATTATCTAAACTTATTTCAATGCCTTGATCTGTCACTTGAATGCTCCCCCACTTTGAAATATGCAAGAATACAAATGAGACAAAAGTTAACATTTTAAAAAAAATTCCATTATGTTTTGTTAGTCACCATACAATATATCATTTGTTTTTGATGTGGTGACCCACGATCCATTGTTTTCGTATAACGTACTGCATGGAGCATTGGGTGTTATACAAAAAATTAACATTTCTATGGCCTCTCCTGATATTTCTATTTCTGGCAAATTCTTTTCGAGACGTGGAGTGATAAAATTCTACAGTAACAAAATCCCTTCAGAAACCTCCAGTTCCCTTGCCTAAAGTTTTCCAGGGGTTGGATCTCCTTTGGAGTAACCCCTCCGGCCCCTGTGAGGGAGGAGGGGCGATTTGATTAGTGCCTTGGGAAGAAAGACCTGAGCACGCCCAGTCCAGCCCTTTGGGACCAAACTCTGGCCAGGACAAGAGGTGTGATATGTGAGGCTTCCAGAATGCCAGTTACTTCACAGAAGTAAGCTAACTAGTCCAGAATTAATATAAAAACATAAATGTTAGCAACATGTCCAGTCTGGATTCCGACAGCCCTGCTCCACCTTCTTCACTCTGCCTCTATCTGGAGCCATTTGTACACATCTGCATCATTGCTGACATGCGGTTAGAGGGACTAAGGATCAAAGACAGTCATTTCCACTCAGACATCATTGGGCCAGGGCCAGTCTCACGTGACCACAGCTGCAAGCCACAAGTGGGGCTGTGTGTGCCTCCTGCAGGGGGCGGTACCATGCGTTTGTGAACAATGACAGTTACCGGAGCAATCAGTTCCTTCTGGACAAAAATTAGTCAAGTGACATATATTCGGTCTCGTCTCTGCTCAAGAAGAACTGATGAGTCAACGAATCAGCTCCTGAATAGTATCTGCAGGGGCAGGGCCCTAAGGTGGGGTTTAGGCAACAAGGTGGGCAGAGGGGACGGCCCTACTCTGTGCTACAGCAGAAATTTGCAACATCCACTCAGCTCCCACGTCACACTGAGTGAAGCAGACTTGCCCAAGTAACTCATCATGCATTCTCAGGCTGGAAACTGAAACTCATTATCTTCCCTTAAATCGGCTATAACCTCATCATGGAGTGACTGTCCAGATATTAGAGCACAGCACAGGACAGTAACAATCAAGTATCGAAATGGGCAGAGCAGACAGTCATTGAGCCTTAGTAAAATAATATTTGCCTGAACGCTCCAAAAATTGCTGTTTTCCCTGCTTTGCTGTGAAAATCAGAAGGGGGTACCAGCAGAAGTGAGGCTTTGTTGCGAGAGAGGCAGACCAAGATGACAGCGATTCAGCACGCTCAGCTCTTCACCCTCCTGATTTCTGGATAGCAGGCAGGCTCGCTGGGATCAGGCTCCGCGCTCCCCAATTGCCCCCCGCTGAGGACAGTCATCTTACCACCTGCAGGGTCTCTACTACCCTCTCTGCCCACACAAATCCTGACCTCAAGTACGAAGCACCCAAACAGCCTCATTCCCTGGATCAGTCAGGGTTTAATACAGGAAAGAGAAGACAATCTAGATCTTTCGAGCTCAAAGGGATTTAATACAAGTTATCAAGTGGAAGGGTTGGAGGAGTAGAGTCAGGAGAAGCTGTCAGAGCCCCCATAACCACAAGGCTGGTGACTAGACAGTGGACCATGGAATGCAGCCACTGCCCATACTCTGCCTT